CGAAAGTTGGCATCTTGTGTTTCTACTACAAATGGTAAGGCACCGCTGCTAGTGGTCTATTAGTTCTAGTGGTATATACCATCAGACCACTAGCCAAAGTATATACCTGCATGATTTATAAGATACCTATTATGCGTGTTTTTTTTCAGTTAAAATATTTTGCTTTGTCAAGATTAAGGTTACAACTCCTTTTTGCTAAAATAACTTTACTGTATGGGTTTTACTGATTTTATGGTATTGGTGTGGTCAATTTAGAATGTAGTGACGTATAGCTACTTAAATCTACGTCATATGAACTTTAGTAGATATTTGTCTTTGTGGATAGCGCTCACATACATGTTAACCCCGCCACATTCTTTATGTGTCTGTCCCAAGTCAGGAGCCTGTAGTTCAGAGGTTGTCGTTGGTTCATGTCTGTCATATTTGTTCTTCGTTAATTGTTTTGTTATAAATTAGGCAGTTAGTTTTCTCATTTATGGGTTTTTCTCAATGTTGAAGGTCGTATGGTTGCCTATAATTGCTTATATTCACTTTATTTGAACTTTGGTGGTTAGTTGTCTCATTGACAATCATACCTCATCTCCTTATTTTTACATTGGCAATAATACCACATCTCCTTATTTTTATATTTAGATGATTTTTTATTTCGACAATTCATTTTATGTTAAGAATATTTCATATTGTTTATCATTTCTCGAATGTGTTACTAACATTGCCTTTGTCTTTAAGTTGTCTTTTAAATTGGTGGGGGCGGTGTTTATTTTGTGTTGTTTACTCTGCTTTCCTTTTTCGATTTGTTTTGTTTTGTTTTGTTTGAAATTGTTTTGTTTTGTTCTTTTTACAAGACAAGACCAGAATAACAAAAAAAGAAACAACGCAATAAAAACAAGGAAAACAACTCCTTATTTAGATTGTTTTGAAAAAACATTTTCAATCAAGATTAAGGGATTGCATATTCAGTTCAAACGTCAGTTTTCAGTCAAAAGACACGACACTAGTTCCATCTATAAATCGTCAAGATTACCTGCCATCATTTGTCATGTATCAGTAAAATGAAAACCCTTTAATAACGGAGAGGGAACGGAATTAAAAAACATATATTTTAGAGCCATTCATATACATGATATATGTGCAAGAAAACACATTTATGCTGCAAGACTATCGTATTACGTTTTAACTAAATAATGTTTTCTATAACCTATTTTTCTACGTGTCTATAAATTCATATAGATAAATGATTGTAACTGGTTTTCAATAAATAATTGACGATTTTCTAAAAGTTTATAGAATAAAGATTACCTAGGTGTTTCGATATTTAAACATACTATGAATACCTTTAATTGATATTCACATTTTTGTCATTTATTGTATTTCATTTCATTTCTGTATTCATCTAATTTCACATAGACCGTGTTCACACCAAATGTCGTGTACTGTAATGATGTTTACAATTAGTATCCTGAATGAACACTGGTTTCACATTAAATTTGTTCTCATATGTACATCGGTTTTAATTACCTGCACATGAATATTGTTCACACAAGTAAACAACATGTACACGTAATTTACATTACATTACATAGTATTAATTACAAATTTCTCAGTTAGGCGCAAACCAATTCATATTTAACAATGGGGGGGGGGGGGGGGGGGGGGGGGGTCGGTTGGAGTAAATTGTTTAAATTTACTTTTTTTCAAGAAAACAATGTATTTGTGTCAGGATAGAAGTGAGAAAAATCGTTTGATTCCATTAAAACTGAAGGGTTGGGTATTCAACATATAGTTTAAAATGTGTTTCTGTATATTGTTGAACAAATTTGTTTTTTTTATAAAAGTGATACAAAATGGTTTGACCCACGAAGATGAATGATTAGTACCTTAAAAATTGTTTTATTGATTTGGAGAACTTTGAGACTTCTTAAGATTTCACGATTACACAAATTAAAACAGCGTAACAATAGGCGAAACAAGGATTTTGAAAATAATTGATTGATTGATTGGTGGTTGCTTAACGTCCAGTGTCAAATATTTCATACGTCTTCAGGACGAGAATAAGTTCACAATATACACAATAGGAAGGTCCTGTAAAAGATACCATCCTAGATGAAGATTGGAAAATGAGAGTACATTGGATACAGACAGAATTTTTACCTTTCAACAGGCCACCCCCGGACCCCTCAAAAAATTGTTGCAAAGGTTGAGCGTTACTGATGAGTCTTATGTAGACAAAACGCGCGTCTGGCGTATTAAATTATAATCCTGGTACCTTTGATAACTATATTCTCTCTCTCTTCATGAGCTTTCGAATTTATTTTTCCCATTCTGAACGGACAGCCAACTTTTGCAAGGGTTTTAAGCCCGTTCGGAAGAAGACCTAAGTGACCATAGTTCTATTCCACATTTACCCACGAGGTGATTTTGGAAATGAATAGTCTGGACTGGTACTAACTCTAAACAAAAACCTTGTCCAAGACATGACGAATTTGAGTATTTTGTCCTACAAAATGCAGGTCTTTGCAAGAAACAGTTTGTATAAAAAGCGAAAATAATTTTCGCGTAAAAAAAATAAGCCGTACTATCAATCGGTGTGAAATGAATATTTCATCAGCAAAAATCCCTCTCCCAATAAAAATTAAAGGATTATTACATTCAATCATATTTTAGCTGAACAAATTTTAAGTTTTTGTCATATATATTGGCAAATAACTTAATTCATAATATCATTATAATCATTTTTATTCAATATATGTAACTTTCTTAAGTATTCATAATAAAATCTACATTCTTAATATCTAGTTTTATGTACACTTAGCCTACATTGGCTATCGACCGCATGTAGTCAAAACCTGTTTAAAACTACATGGAAACATTGATTTTTATCAATGGGAACGCAATTGAGTTTAGTTTAAATGTTGAGTACACTTACACCACGCCGAGTTTAGCTCAATGTGAACACGACCATAGATAAATGATTTAATCAAACTGGTGATTTTCAAAAAATTTTTCGTCCTACATATTGCATGTATCTCACGCCTAAGTCAATTAATTAAACATCTTGAAAGATTTGCAACTTCATTGCACATGTAAATTACGTTGTTATTAATAGGGTTTAAAAAGCAATATATAGATAAAATATGTGTGCTCATATTCATTTCAAGTTATCGGTGGAATTTATCAAATGATCATCTACTGAGAAATGGACAGTTTTTTATTTTTTTAAAAATCTGTGTTTACTCTTAGGTGTTACAACATTATGTTGTATTTCTTAACATTAACCAAATAGTACAGGCTAATAGATGGCTTAACCTGCAGGTTTGTGGAGTAGAATCTTTTCTTACATCCGGAGCACCAGACATTACCAAGGTGTTTTGGTGGGGTTCTTGTGGTTCAGTTTTAGTTTCTATGATGTGTTTTATAGACCATTGTTTGTGTTTTAGTCTTTTTTCGTTTTTGCCATGACGTTGTCAGTTTGTCTTCGACTTATGGGTGTAAATATCCTTTTGGTATCTTCCGCCTCTCTTTATGGCATATTTTGACATACTGTAGTATCTAGATTTTGACATTTAATTGACATTGTCCTTCAATGCTTAATAATAAAACCAATGTTTTTCCCCTCATAGAAACGTTTAGCATTGAATTTTGGGTCAAGAATGCTCTTCAATTTCGTACGTTATTTGGCCTCTAACTTTTTAAATTTGAAACGTCCCTTCAGTGATGTTGGAAACCAACATTATTTTAGCTCCAAACCCTAATACACACTTTGAAGTGCTGATTAAAACCAAAAGAGAACAAAGGCAAAACCAAACCCTTACAGATATATCAACAAACTGCTCAGGCATGTAATTCAGTCATCTAGGTTTTAGTATTAAGCTGATGTTAAAAGGCAGTAGTTGCAACCAAATTTCATAAAAGTATTAAACGATTGTTATATATCTGCTAATGCTAAAATGACATTTGAATGCTATAACATCATTGATATTATTTTACAATCTAAAAGAGGGACGAAAGATACCAGAGGGACAGTCAAACTCGTAGATGTCATGCTCCAGCGATTGTATTTACACATTAAATGTCATTTATCCCAGATGCTTGTTTAACCCAACAACAAATTAGAAGTATTAGATCTCAGCCTTTAATATTTTTATAATAAGTATGTATATCAGAAATGGGCCGGAAAAGGCACCGGATATTAACCCTTTGGACAAACGCTTTTTCACTTATTCACAAATAAGTCTTTAACGTGACATCAGTGTACAATGTGACTCTTTCCAGCTCATGTGATGACGTAGATAAGCTTGTACAGCAACATCTTAATGTCATTCGTTGGCTAGTATCGGATGTCTGTATAGTATCACAGTACGCAATCTACTATTTGGATTGTAATATTCAAACAAAGACTTTCATAAGCCTTAAACGTCTGTGTACAATGTTAATTATGATATATTATCGAATGAATTTTACATGTAGTTTGATGTGTGTACATTTTGATTAAAATCATACGTTCTATAAAACATGTGTTAGTGAATATAGAGTTTCAAGTTGATTGATTGATTGATTGCTTATCTTTTTTGAAAACGTTTATGTTGGCGCCATTCTAGCGTTTGAATTTGTCAGTTTTTATGGGCTTCCCCACTTTGAATGTACCTTGGAGTTCCGTATTTTTGTTAATACTTTTTTATATCCTCCATATATTGAGAATTTACAATTTATTCTATACGAACAACAGCTCAAACATTGCACAAAAAATACATAATCTAAACAGCATCTAAGTAACATCAGTGAAGAAAAAAATATATATTTACATAAACTATGGAAATATATAAAAGGGTCTATTTGTTATAAAACGACCGCATTATTGTAGATCAAAATATGTGACTATTAATACCACATTTGAAGACCTGATATAGTTTCAACATAGCATCGGCTATGTGGCACGTCAAGCAACATCACACACCAGCATTCAGATTAGGAAATATTTTAGCTATATAATATTTTCATAGTAATGTTCGATTTTTAATTCCTGCTCATTAAGTTACACAATCAAAATAATTACATACGTACTTGATTACTTTGATAATTAATGTTATCGTTCATTCTCTTCCTTATTTGGTAAAAAAACCATAATAAAGTGTCTTTGTATAGGAAATATGATTTTTTATAGAATAAAAGCATGATACTGACATAAACGTTATAAACATGTTACAATTTTGAAACAATTAATTAACTCAATAAACAAATTAAAGTCGTTTGATAATATAATTAAGTATGAAGCAAAAGAGTTAACCCTAAAAAAGGAGGTTTTGATAATAAACAATTCGGTTAAGTTGAGAGAGTCAAGATGATTACATAGATTCATGTAAATAATGCAAACATGTATGGTTATGTTGGGCATGATATGTAAACTGCTGTCTAGATGAAACGAATTCAGGCATAACTAGTAGTAAATTAGCAAGACCAAAACGAAACATGGGATCTTTGTGTGATTACAGTAGGATTGCAATCTATCCTAAAAAAGGTTAATTTAGTTGGATTGGTATATCTTTATTTAATAGACTTAAAATTTTGTTTTTTTTATTGTTGTTTGTTCTCTGTAAAAATACTTATTATTAAACTTATCATGCATACCAATATGACTAAAAACAGAAAATGAAACATTGCAAACGTGGATTTTGGTCTATGATATGATATTATACAAATATATTATTGTGTGAAAAAAATACATATCAAATGAACCATTGCTATTCATGTCATACATTTTGATTTGGTGTAAAATGTATAAAATTATAACAAATGCGTCAGGAAGACATAAAAAAAATCATTATTTTATACATGCAGTTTAGTACAATAAATCATAACCTAATAAACCTCTTATATATAAATGAAAAAAAAAAACGATATGTGATTCTTATTTGCTGTTAATATACATAACGGTTGATAACAGTATGTTGATCTTTTTTGATGTATTGATGTATCCTAAGGCTGCTGTTCCATTGACATTAACTTCATATCATAATGTACATTCTGCTGTACTGTCCTTTAGGAATTCTTTCTGATAGTGTCAGGGAACTCCCATCAAAGTCAGAATTCAATAATTTTAAATGATATCTCCAGGCAGATTGCATAATATTTTCTTCATTTTATTTTAAAAATGAAAATTATATGCATATACATTTCTGCAAAAGATAAGCTAAAGATGGATGCTAGATGTATAAAAAAGCACGAAATAAGACATCATGGTTTTTCTGGAAGTTAACAGACTCTTACCATATTTCCCTGTCCACCAAAAAAAAAAATCAAATACTCCAGATATTCCAAAAACAAACGCTTTCCGATTGACTACTCCAGCTAGCTTAAGACTAATACCTTATGACTTCTACGTACTTTTCATATGATTTTGACGTCATTGTTGATTATGAAAGCAGAACAACTGGCCGTGCGAATAAATATTTGTTCATAGAGCTTATAATATGTACACTCTACCTCATTAAAAAATATGCATAATGAACTGATAATTACGAGAAAAGAATATAACTCAATGGAATATTTTAAAGATTTTCAAAATTCATAGCTCTCTCATTGTCATCAGTTAGAATATGATCAGCACCTCCTATTGCCAAACCACACTGCGGACATTTTATTTTCTCCATAAGCATACCACATTCTCCTATAGAATAATAATGCCCTGAAACGAGAGGAATCAATAATTGGAAGACTACCTGTTTTAAGTGAAGTTTAACACTCTATGTACTATCACCATAATTCATACAATTTATTATCTCAAACCAACCCAATTTCTTTTAATATGACTACTACAAAAATATTTAAACAAGTGAATATTGTATAAGCAAAATAAAATTTGGTAGTGTCGAGGTTAACAATTTTGTAATCCATCCATTGCTTGAGAGTCAATTAATACCATGCATCGGCACATCTACCACTGTTTTGCTATTGGAAATGCTTGTATTATTTAAATCAACTTACGAATAAGGAAGGTAGACAATAAAAGTTAAACTTAAAACTGTTTGGAGTTTTAAAGTAAAGGAGGAGTATCCGTTTGAAACTGACTGAAAATCAACTTATTATATGTAGTCGATCACCCGGTTTCGATAGCGTGGGTACCAAATAAGTATTTTTGGACAAATTTGGTCTTCTTTTTGTTAAATATATTTCAAAGTTTCCAATACAGAGGTTATTTGAGGTATAAAACTTTATATCAAGTCTGAAGTATCAAAGTAACTTTTTTTAGTTGTAAACACTTTTAATTTGCACTGCTATAACCCCATTTCATGTTATACTTGTAAGTTCAAGTAATACAATTTCTATACTATCAAATATACTAACTTACCTTTTTTACATTTGTACCAATATCCCGATCCCATAAATTCATTCTCCATGGCTCGTTTTATTATTTGCTTCTCTTTAAGTGTAAGACCAATCATTCTAGAAGAGACTTCTTCTGTTTCCTTTCTCATTTTAGATAATTATTCTTCTTCCACGACTCCAATAGATTCAAGTTTAAGCAAGTAATTTTGAGTATTATCAGGGAATGCGAGTCCTTCATCGCGTTCGTAGAGTTCTGTTTTAAATTTATGAATATCAAGTGTAAGTTGCAGTCGTCGTATTTCTAGGTAAAATTCATTATGTTCTTGCCTTGCATATCTGCCTCGCCTTAAAAACACCCATGTTTCTAGTCGATCTAACCATGCTTTTAATAGCCGTTGACATTCACAGGGGACAGTTTCTTGTCTGAGGTTAAAAATTTCCTCATAAAAGGTTAACTGAACGACTATCATATTTAGAATATCGACCGATCTGGTAGTTTTTACTTTGTCCTCTAGTTTAGTGAATATGTCACGAGGTAGATCAATTTCATAATCAGTGAGTGTCTGTCTTGTATCATTCCGCTTTTCATGGAGATCAGTACCTTCTTCAATATTTCGAATGGTCCAAAATACCTCACACACGTTTTTGTTAATAATTTTTAGTTCGTTAGATTTGACTTTGATATTTTAGTGCTGCACTTTGGGCACTTCAAGGACTTGATTTCAGCTCTGGTATTATCCAGAACGTTTGAAATATATTGGTCTAGTCCTTTAACTTCTAAAACGCATGTGCAATCTTCTAACAAAAGGAATATGGCGTTATCATTTTCGTCATATCCAAATAGTTTTTCTGTCAGGTTTTCGCACACTTTACAAATACACTTTGAAATTTCGCATATTAGTCCCGCACATTTATGACCGAGGCCACAACTTAGTATAGTGTTACAAAGTGTATTACATTTTGGTCTTTTACAAGGTTTCATACATACTTTGCCACACTTGAATTTGTTTGGACATTCTGCTTTACATTCCCATTTACAAAGTTTAGTACACTGTATACAGCTATCACTACATCTGTTTTTACATCTATCGCCATGAATACATTTCCGATCGCATTTCTGTGTACAAGGTGGACAACGGTAGTTGCAATGATCCATACAAATATGTCCACATACCAAGTTTCTTTCGCATTTCGCTTCACATGGTTTGTGAAGCCTTCCTTGACTACATTCGGAATGTGTTCCTTTGCATTCGTGACCACATTTCAATATTCCATTACATGGCAACTTACAAGGGGGATCATATTTGGTATAACATGGAGCTTGAACCTTATGTCCACAACGAGCGTTTATCTTTATCAATTGCTTGCAGTCATCTTCGGTATTACAAGGATCTGTACAATGTTTCTTACAACGATGGCCACATGGTATGATAACTTGGCATTGTTCATCGCATGATGCAGACTGTGGATCTTTATGACAAGGCATACGTTTTCTATGTTGACATTTTGGAATTGTTTTTTCTACGATTTCATTACATTTCTCACACGAGTTTGGATAATGGCATGGTTTTATGCACCTAATGTCCCATTTCGCATACTTGTCTGTGGCATTGTTTTGGACACATGCCTTCGTGATCTGGATCATCAACATGACATTTTCTTAAACAGAAGTGCCCACATTGTCTCTTGATTTCGCAAGGTTTTTGACATCCGCCATCTGTAACTAAATCAAAGTCGTCTGGCTTAGAAACATATGTTGAATTCTTGTGTTTTTGACAAGTTAAAATTAGCTTGGAGCCAAAAGATTGTCTTTTTTCAGCATCATTGACAATGTTTTTCCACAGTTCTGATCTCGATCTTAAAAGTTCAAAATTGCCTACCACATAAAGTCCTATTTTTGCCCTTGATAGAGCAACGCAAACTCTATTTGCCTCGGATAAATAGCCTATTTCGTTTTCCATATTACGTCTTACAAGCGATAATAATATTATATCATTTTCTTCTCCTTGAAAATTATCTACTGTTGTAATTCTTACGGATGGTTCGTCGTCCCGACTTAGAATTCCTGGACAATTAACGACCTCATCCTTTCTTGAAATGTTTTTGTCTTCAATCTTGATCATGTTGCAAAGTAGCCGAACCTGATCTGAGTATGTTGACAGTACAGTTATTTTAGAAGAAGGATATCCTTGCATTCTGAGATATCTGTACAATTTACAAATGAACATTGCTTCGAACTCGTTCTTGTGACTTCTTGAAAGTTCTTCATGCTCCTGGTCTTCAAACTCAAAATGCGATAAAAAGAAGACATTACAGTGAATTCCTTTAACGTTTTCATATTCAAACACACTTTGGTCGTCTTGCAAAGTACGATAAATGTGAGGCACTAAAAGCTTGGATATCGTTGGTCTCATTCTATGTTGATATTCTAATCGGGTATAAGGAACACGTCCACTAATAAGTCTTTCAAAAAGGGATATATTTATTTTATGCTCTCGTGCAGTTTTATAATCGTTGTAAGACGGACGCAATTGTTGGTGGTCGCCAATCATAATAAGTTGCTGGCATGAAGATGTCAAACATGCCACTACGTGATGTTCTGGGATTTCAGCAGCTTCTTCAATGAGAACAATGCTTGGAAAAACGCCTTTGAGTAATTCTATATCTCTTGCCGCTCTAGTTATTGTACATGCTACAAGTTTTGCTCTCTTCAATATTTTAATATCAGCTATATGTTGAATCTCCTCATAACGTCCTTGGGATATTTGGTAGCTTTCCTCACAATGTTTTATTTCTTTGTTGATGGGAATGAGAGACTGTTCAATCCAGTATTTATACAACTGCCATTTTTTTGGATTATTGATACACCATATATTTGACACAGAACATGCTTCCTCAACTGACATTGCTTGTGTACAACAGAGTTTCTCTTCTATTTGTTTAATGAGAAAATATTTTTCGTTCTCATTGTATCGATCCCAAAACCATTGCTTGCATTGCGTTTTCTCTTTGCTAAATACAATATTTGAAGAAATTATCATTTTCAGTTTATCGAAGTCAAAATGTATCAGTAGAAGTTTTTCCATTGTCTGTGTTCCCTCTTCGTCATAATCAACACTTAGATCATCATACCAATTTTCCTCGTCATCGAAATAATCAAAATCATCTTCATCGTAAATATTTTCCCTAAAGTTTTGTTGTATAGTGACTTGTTGTGTTAATGATTCAACTTTTAACCATCTAATTAAAGACGACTCGTTTTTGAGTGCATTGTACTGCGTGTCAGTAATAACATTAGCTACATCATGGAGCCAGTCTTGATGAACTATTCCTGTTTGAATTTCATCTCGTAGCTTTTTCAAGTTTTCATGGTCTTTAATTCTTGTATTTAAATTTGATTTAGCATTACATGCCAATACATTCAATTCGGTTGATGTTTCCCTTTTTGTGCGTATTCGAATTTATCCTGTGCGAGTACTGTACTCCTCTTTTTTGTAAGTGTACGGTTTGCGTTTAGCAATCAAGTTAAATTCTTTCAATATTTCAACTTCTGACCTTGATCCTAATCGGACAATATCAACGGCGTCGGTTTTTCGCAATCGTGTAGAAATATCCAGTAGAAATTGATCTAACGCATGGTTGGTGTAACTAAGAATAAGCATTGGTCTTTGATTATCTTGTTCACGCCATATATGGTCATTTTTTAAAAGTAGTTGCGCTATTTTCAGTCCAACTACTGTTTTTCCTGTTCCAGGTGGTCCCTGTATTAACGCCAGTTTACTTTTCATTGATGTAATGATTGCTCTGTGTTGAGAATCGTCCATACCAAGAAAATCTGCACAAGGCCAGTTTGCCTCCGTTGAAATGTCTATCTTGTATTCATGTAGTTTAGAATTCAAACAGCTGATATCAAATTCTTCTTTTACGAATTTAGAAGACTTAGAATAATCTGGTACATCTTTTTCCACGCTGTGTTTCTCTGGTAATAACTGTTTACAGAACGGTAAAGCAGTTGCCTTATTAAATACTTCACTGTGCATACTCTTAAGTGATTTTAATGTCTAAAGGTAAGACAGAAAGAAAGCGCGGCTTTCAATAAGAAGAACATCAGGCTGTTGTAAAATTTCATTCACGTCTGCATTAGCTTCGGTAAATTTAATTTCAAAAATACCCCTTTTTAGATCACTAGCATTACGCTCTGCTACAGTTGCAAACGTGAGAATCGAAAAGTTTTTTTTTGTAAAACAAACAAGAGATCCAAATGTAAGTAACTTTCTGGTGTTCCAGTTGATTCGACTATAGGGAGTGATATCAAATCTTATTTTCCAAGTTAATCCGTTTTGTTCATTACAACAGCGTGTTAGAAAAGTTATATTTTTATAGACACGGATGTCATCATGTCGCCATCCTTTCTCAAGGCAGTCCGGATCTTCATATAAACTATCTTTTAAAGACATCAACCCTATACACAAGGGCCTGATAAAATCTTGACGATGAAGCATGAATAGTCGTCGTAAGTAGCCTTCTTCTGTTTCATGATCTTCATAATCAGAATCAACAATACAACTTTCACATGACTCTATTTCAATAAAATCTGGCAGTATAGCTAATGTTGAAAGTTGGTTCTCGTTGTAAGGGGTATTCTCTGGATCCCATTTGTCTCTTATTTCTTGTATTAGAAACTCTAGGTTTCTTTGTTGACTCTCGTCCTTCACGTTTTCGTGAACACATCTTTCTAAAGAATCTAATGGTTGCATTAGATCGGATGGTCCACTATTCACATGACATACAAACCCTTTCATCAAAAGAAGTAAATTTATCAGCATGTGAATTTCTTCCCCCTCAAACTGTAAACGAAGCTCCCAAATAATATCTTTTATATCCTGTCGGTCAAAGAACTTTCTTTCTTTTAATGGATTGAGAGCTTTCTGTACTAATGAATAATGCTTAGACTCACATAACTTACACATTACTTGTAAAAATAAAGACATATGCTCAATAACCACATGCTTAAATAGAAATGTGTCTAATTCTCTACTGCAAGTACTAATTTAAGCCGCTAAATATTCGGTATCCATCTTTGACAATTTATGTATGTTTTTTTTTTCTTCAGACACTTCAAATCCGTTCTGGGAATATTTTGTATTTAGTTTTATTTCACTGTGATGTTGCTTTGTGTTTGGACTGCTTGATTGTCCGTTTGGACGAGATTGATATCGGACTTTACAATTCTTTCTTTGATATACAATTAACGATAGTCTGCTTGAAACAGGCACATTGCTTTCTTGTTGTCCCGCTGAAATGTGATGAACTCTACCTTGACTTATGTTATTCTTAGAATTTGACATTTCGAGTTTTCTATCTCCAAGAATACTTCGTTTGTCTTTAATTCTTTCTGTAGGCGCATGTGCACTGTATTGATACGTTTCGCTTCTTGGTCCTTCTTTTTCAATGTTCACACCAACAAAATTGCTTGATGTTCTAATTACTTTTCGCCGATTGGAGTCGGAGCTATGTGATCGGCTTCGTTTTCTTGACTCAATTTCCTCAATTTCTGACAAAAAGGTTTCTCCTTTAAAATCCAGATTTCCGACTTTGTTATCAGTTTTGTGATTTCTATTAGTTTCAAGTGCGATGCTAGATTTAGAGTTGACTTTCATATTATCATTATCCTGAAAATCATTTGAAATTATCCGACAATCATTTATGGATGTATTTTGGGTAAACTTTTCCAGCCGTTGACTCCGCGATTTGTATGGCTCTGCACCTAAACGCTTAAATACAGATATTATTTTGACATCTTTTCGTTGATTGATTATGTCTGATATGGTTGGTCTGGAAGTGCCTTGAATATTGTTCAATGTTAAATGTTCTTTGGTAGAACTTTTTATATCCATAACGTCATGATTCATTTTATATTCCTGTATGGGGTTTAAGGATAATTAAGGCATCAAAGTCTACATCATTATAATCAACGCTTGGTCTTTCATTTGGATTTAGATTGGAATTACGCGTCATGTAGCTTCTACTAAAAATCTGGAAGGGTCTTCTGTTTCTTTCCATTTTCTCACAGTTACACTAAATGTGAAAAATAAATGAAGTGAGTAGTAGGAAATATTTACTTATAAAATGTATTCCCTCTATGTTGTTTATATCTGATGTCAAAGAGAACAAACATTGGTTTACATCAATACACGATGGTCTTTAGTATGCATGTTTAATGTTTATAAATACATTGTACTTTGAAAACTTTTCTTTCAACTAGGTAATATATGTTTTTATATTTATCTTGTTCAGATTATTACATATAGTAGATTTAATGATAAGAAACATGGAAATTAAAAGTAGCTAAAAATCAGATAAAAGGAGAAGATATGATAAAGCTACTTTTTCGCCCTATATATCGAAAATTGTAAATTATTTTAAATTATCAAACAAAATCTTTTAGAGATTAATAAGACCTTAAACTGTCAACCATCAGTATTTATATTTTAGGGTGAAGTCTTAGATATTTACATTCTTACAAAAACTTCATAAATAGCCTAATTTTGAGATATTGTCATTAATATTTAGATATGAGCCAATGCTTTACCAAAAAGAGATATTTTGCTACAAGATTTAATACTCATATCTATTTTGAATAATAATTATCGTTAATATATCAATTTTGACAGGGTTATGGCGTCATCGCAAGTGAACTTTCTTTACTAGATGGTCTTCTAGTGTTAATTGGCCATTGTTCCTTACTTTCTCCGTTTTAAATTAGGTTTCGAACCATTAAGAACGAATGGGGTAGGAGGCTTCAGGATGCTTATGAATCATACATCGAATTAATTATATTCTCGAACACGACAAACGATAGAAATATCTAAAAATGAAAGTAACAGAGTATTCACTGCTGTTTATATTTGTTCTCCTCTAACAATAGCTGATTTAATCACTCAAACACGAGCTAAAAAGGAAATACTATATTAGAATTTAAGAAAATTTGATGGTTACAAATTGTCGACGGAGTATTCACTGCTGTTTATATATGTTCTCCTCTAATAATAGCTTAATTAATCACTCAAACACAAATTAAAAAGGAAATACAATATTAAAATTTAAGAAAATATGATGTACACAAATTGTCAGCGGATATATTACTCATCAAATCACAGTTTATATGTAATTTTATGAAAACATATAATAATTTGCATTTCCCGCAAGGAAATAATTTGTATACGTAGCATTACGTACCCGTTTCTTATAATATTTAAGAAACGGGTACTTAATGTTACGTATACAAATTATTTTCTTGCGGGAAATGCAAATTATTATATGTTTTCATAAAATTACATATAAACTGTGATTTGATGAGTAATATATCCGCTGACAATTTGTGGTACATCATATTTTCTTAAATTTTAATATATATATATATATATAGAAGTCTGTAAAAAGGACCAACCAGCAAATTTACTATGTACCGGATCGTCTAGAATAGACGATACTGTGCAGATAAGGAAAAAATTATATAAGTCTAGAGATTTGCACAACGATACTAATATAAGATGGTATTATACGAATATCTTGTTATTAAATCGTATTGACAAATATTTCGGCTTAACAAATAGCCTTCTTCAGTGTCAAGTGAAGTGAAGTCTATATATACATAAGTCTAAATTGAAAACAACGTTCAAACCTATGATTGCGTTGGATAAAAACCGCAATTTTTATATGTGTGCATGCAAAACAAATTTCTTGAAGAGGGGTCTAAATACAGCACAAACAATATTTTCCAAAAAACCAAAAAAGTGAAAAAAAAGTATATTTAAACAAAACACATTTGACTAACAGGTCGAACAACGGATGTTCTTAAACCCTGCTGACTGCCATTGGCGATTGCCAAAAAAAGGATCAAAAGATGTTACAAAATGGATCTTCATTTAATTTATTAATTAAATACCAAACAGAAAACAATAAATTTGCGGAAAAGTTGGTATACCGCAAACATGAGGTGCAAACATTTGTACACCATATCCGGATTTCGACAATTAATGTCTCTCCAGTGATGTTAGGAATCGAAACGGTATTTGAAAGGCCATATAATTTACCTCAACTTAGGATAGACTCTTGAAAGATCCATTTTGTTACATCTTGTGATCCGTTTATTTGGCAATCGCCAATGGCAGTCAGACGTACTGATATATATATAAGTACGTCTGAACCAGTGACAACTCTACAACAGATTAATCCATCGGATCACCAGCAGTGATGGTGATACATGGCTGTGTACATTCTGTATATACAATTCGTCTAAACATCAGCCAAATAATGTTAGATCTGTAAATTTGCTTTCGCAAATTTTTTGTTCTTCCCTCGCCGGGATTCGAGCTCATGCTACTGAGATAGTGTGACACCAAATCGCCTGCATTGTATCCGACGCGCTAGGCCACTCGGCCACCTATGCTTCACAATAATAAAGCTTTCGGTGGCCGGGTGTTACCTTTCCTCGTCAGTTTTAATCTAGCGTCGTAATACAGTACATGATATATAAGGCATGAAGATGGAATTGTTACAGATCAGCTGAAATATCTATTATAAAGGGTCCTACAAATTAATGCAAGATACAGTCACAGAAATAATTATATTTATAAGTACGTCTGAACCAGTGACAACTCTACAACAGATTAATCCATCGGATCACCAGCAGTGATGGTGATACATGGCTATGTACATTCTGTATATACAACTCGTCTAAACATCAGCCCAACAATGTTAGATTTTGTAAATTTGCTTTCGCAAATTTTTTGTTCTTCCCTCGCCGGGATTCGAACTCATGCTACTGAGATATCGTGACTCCAAATCGCCTGCACTGTATCCGACGCGCTACACCACTCGGCCATCTAGGCTTCACAATAATAAAGCTTTCGGTGGCCGGTTGTTACCTTTTTTCGTCAGTTTTAATCTAGCGTCGTAATACAGTACATGATATATAAGGCATGAAGATGGAATTGTTACAGATCAGCTGAAATATCTATTGTAAAGGGTCCTACAAATTAATGCAAGATACAGTCACAGAAATAATTATATTTATAAGTACGTCTGAACCAGTGACAACTCTACAACAGATTAATACATCGGATCACCAGCAGTGATGGTGATACATGGCTGTGTACATTCTGTATATACAACTCGTCTAAACATCAGCCCAACAATGTTAGATCTGTAAATTTTTTTTCGCAAATTTTTTGTTCTTCCCTCGCCGGGATTCGAACTCATGCTACTGAGATATTGTGACACCAAATCGCCTGTACTGTATCCGACGCGCTAGACCACTCGGCCACCTAGGCTTCACAATAATAAAGCTTTCGGTGGCCGGGTGTTACCTTTCCTCGTCAGTTTTAATCTAGCGTCGTAATACAGTACATGATATATAAGGCATGAAGATGGAATTGTTACAGATCATCTGAAATATCTATTGTAAAGGATCCTACAAATTAATGCAAGATACAGTCACAGAAATAATTATATTTATAAGTACGTCTGAATCAGTGACAATTCTACATCAGATTAATACATCGGATCACCAGCAGTGATGGTGATAAATGGCTGTGTACAGTCTGTATATACAACTCGTCTAAACATCAGCCCAACAATGTTAGATTTGTAAATTTGCTTTCGTAATTTTTTTGTTCTTCCCTCGCCGGGATTCAAACTCATGCTACTAAGATATCGTGACACCAAATTTCCTGCACTGTATCCGACGCGCTAGACCACTGCTGGTGATCCGATGGATATATGAAATTAAGATCCATTTATTACATCGGTGATCCTTTTATTTGGCAATCGCCAACAGGGTTTAAAAACATGTGTTGTTCGACCTGTTAGTCAAATGCGTTTTGTAAAAATTACTTTTTCATTTTTTAGGTCTTTTAAAAATGTTGTATGTGCTGTATTTGGACCCCTTTAGCAAGAAATTTTGTGTGCATGCACACGTATACAAATTGCGGTTTTTATCTAACGCAATCATAGGTTTGAACGTTTCAATTTAGACTTACTTGCATATATATATATATATATATGTCATCTTTCGGTTTTAGTCATTGATTTTACACATTTTAATTCTTAATTTACCGTTGGTCTTTTTAATGCAGAACCATTTTGCTAATTTTTCTTTTACATTATTAAGATCTACAGACTAGTATAAACGATCATTGGACTTTTCCCCGATGTATATACGCACCTTTATACACATGTAGAGAATGACACACTTGATTTCCTATACGACACATCTTTTACATGGAGTTGAAATCGGCAATTTTTCTTAAAAAGTGACAAAAACGAAAACAGATTTACAAGAAAGTTATCTATAATTGATATATTTGTTGGTTAAAAGCTCAGTAGACCCTTACATATATGTCTTTTTTATAGTGTAAACCATGCCCACATTGAATAAAGATCGTTAATTATAAATTATTAAGTTACAGTTAATAGAAAAATATTGGAAAGTGTGCACTACCAATAGTTTAAATTTGTATGATTGAAATTTATTTTAACTAATATACATATATTGTTTTACAAAATCGGCGTTTTAAATCACAACAATTAACACACCATATATATATCTTCATTGAATATTTCATATAGTTTTGTCACTTATATTTTGAATATTATTATCTTCTCAATCATGATGTATCGATTTTGAAAAATTTGAAAATATGCAAATTAGACGTTCTATAGTTTACTTATTGGACTTTTATACTTCAAAATTCGACAATCGGCGTACCTCTTCTGAAAAGTCATGTTTAACCCGATGAAAATTTTCGAACCTTTTACACACTATTTGGTTTTATAATGTATGGTACATTTTAAATACAATTCTAGATGTTTTGCGGTGAATAAGTTCTTTATTTAGTCAGGCAATTTGTAAGATTTTTCTAAGTATTTTATGATTGATTCGATTGTATTAAAACACACCGTCAACACTCTAATCTCTGTCCTAGGTTATAATTAAACAGTTATATATTTCATTCTACTATAAATGTTTAGATGTACTGTTAAACCGCTATTAAGATTAATTAAGATGCATAACAAAGAATAAACTTACGTAGTAAAAAGTATACTTGTATATCTGGAAAACCGTGTTCTTCCTTCCTTATCTAATATCCCTGTCAATATGTTTTTGCCTAATCTTTTATAGCTACAACGAAGCTATAAGTATGTTCCAAAACTGTAACATTCAATAATGGTGTATAGTAGCTAATATAATGATAAAAACATCCGTGTGTATGCCATTCGTGCGTGAAATGATTAAAGTTTGGTCGCAAGTACAAAAATATTTTACTTTACAATCGGAGGTAGATTGTAGATTTAAAAACAAAAAAACTATATCCTATTTTAGCACATGATAGTTATACTGTGGTAACCATAATCACACATCTGTTGACTTTGGTTACCCATGGTCACCTAACAGAGATTGTGTTTTGGTTACCTCTGGTCCCCTTACAACGATATAGACTATTGTTATCCCTGGTTAGCTTACATTGATGCTCTTGTCACCTTACCCATATATTTAATTTGGTTACCTCTGGTTACCTTGCACAAATATTGACTATGTTTACCTCTGGTCACCTTACAATGATGCTCTGGTCAAATTACACAATTATTCAATTGTGTTACCTCTGGTCACCTAACACATATATTGACGTTGGTTACCTCTGGTCATCGCACACATATTCACTTTGGTGACCTCTGGTCATCGCACACATATTCACTTTGGTGACCTCTGGTCATCGCACACATATTCACTTTGGTTACCTCTAGATCTGGTCACCAAACACAGATATTCACTTTGGTTAATTCTGGTAACCTTACACATATAATGACTTTAATTAACTCTGGTCATCTTGCACAGATATTGACTTTTGTAAAATATAGTAATCTTACAAACACAGATGTTAACTTTAGTTACACAATATCACCAAGCACAAATATTGATTTATTTACCTCTGATCAACATACACATATATCTGGTCACCTAACACTGATGTACTGATAATCTTACACATATATTTATTTTGGGTACCTCTGGTCAACTTACAAAGATATTGACTATTGTTACCTCTGGTAACCTTACATTGATCTTCTGGACAACTAAGACATATATTTGTTACCTCTGGTCACCTTGCAAATATACTGACTATGTTTACCTCTGGTCACCTAACAATGATGCTCTGGTCACATTACACAATTATTCATTTTGGTTACTTCTGGTCACCTAACATATATATTGACGTTGGTTACCCCTGGTCATCTTAAACACACATTCAATGTAGTTACCTCTTGCCACCTAATATAGATATTCATTTTGTTACCTCTGGCCACCTTACACATATATTGGCTGTGGTTACCTCTATTCACCTTGCACAGATATTGACTATGTTTATCCCTAGTCACCTTACAAAGATATCCTGGTCACATTACACAGATATTTTATTTGTTTACCTCTGGATCCCTAACACATATTTTAACAGTGCTTAACACTGATCATCTTGCGAAGATATTGACTTTTGTTTCCTCTGGTCACCTTATGTACACATATATTGACTTTGGTTACCTCTGGTCACCTCTGGTCACCTCACAAAGATATTGACTATGGTTACTTCTCATCACCTTACTCATATATTGACTTTCGTTACCTCTGGTCACCTTGCACAGATATTGACTATGGTTACCTCTGGTCACCTTACAGTGATGTTCTGGTCACATAACACAGACACTTAATTTGGTTCTCTCTGATCACCTAACACATGTATTGACATTTGTTATATTTGATCATCTTACACAGATATTCACTTCAGTTACCTCTGGTCGCCTTACACAGATATTGACTTCTGTTTTCTCTGACCACTTAATTTACATATACGTTGACTTTATTTACATCTGGTTTCCTAACAAATATATTTGGTCATCTTACACAGATATTGACGTTGGTAACCTCTGGTCATCTTAAACATATATTTACTTTGGTTACCTCTAGTCACCTTGCACAGATATTGAACATGTTAATCTCTAATCACCTTACAATGATGTTCTGGTCACATTACACAGATATTAAATTTGGTAATCTCTGGTCAGCTAACACATATATTGACGTTTGTTACCTATGGTCACCTTGCAAAGATATTGACTATGTTCACCTCTGGTCACCTTACAATGATGATCTGGTCACATTACACAATCATTCAATTTGGTTACTTCTGCACCTTACGCATATAATGACTTTGGTTACCTTTTGACACCTAGAACATACATTGGCTTTGGTTACCTCTGGCCAATTGTCACAGATATTGATTATGTTTACCCCTGGTCGCCTTACATTGGTGTTCTGGCCATATTACAAATATTTAATTTGTTTCCCTCTGGTCCCCTAACACATACATTGACGTTGGTTAGCTCTGATCATCTAACACAGATATTCACTTTGGATATTTTGGTCACCTAACACAGATATCGACTTTGGTTTCTTCTAATCACCTTATTTACAAATATGATGACTTTGTTTACCTCTGGTCACCTTACACATATATTATTTTAGTTACCTATGGTTCACATTACACAGATATTGATGTTGATAACCTCTGATCAACTTGCACATATATGAACGTTAGTTCATCATTGTCACCTAACTCATATGTGACCCGCCATGACATTGTGTGGCTTATGGAGGTATAACGTCATTGATAGAAAAACGCCGTCAACTATGAACCTAACGTCACATTTTGTAAACATACTGTGTTGAATTATTAGGAGTCCAGATTTTAGAAATATCCATATATAAGTAAACAGAAATATTAGAAAAAATATTAGAGATTTATCATAGAAGTCCAAAGAAGTAGTTGTTATGTTAACAAGGTAAATTTAAAATATATTGATAAGTTGAAGCCTGGTAAAATAATTTATAAATTGAAGGTATATCCAACGCTCACAAATTAAAAGAATTTTGTCAGATAGTTCATTCAATTTCCTCATATATTAAATTGTCGTTTTCGGAGTATTTGTGGAGAAGGTAAACCACTTTACTTTGGTTACATAATTTTTAAATTTTACGTTTTTGATTGAATTTGAAATTACTTTATTCTGCATAAATTGATAAAAAAAACCTTCAAAGAGTTTGAAAATCTAAAGTTATCTGCTCTGTAGAGTGTTCATAGATAGAATCATTAAAATTGCAGTATCATAATACATTTTTAAAACTACGCCTTATATAAACTGTTACGCCTAGCATGCTATGGTTAGTAAAGACTTGCATAATTAAACTTTAAAAGAAAAAAACCTACTACAGACAAAATTTAAACTAATTTCATTGCAAGTTTAAATTACATTTTATAGAAAAAGAAGCAAATAGAGTTGTTTTGAGTACATTTGAAACTGTTTTCAAGTAGGCCGGTTGAAATTACTCAGCGCCAATGATAGGTATAATGTGTCCTCTCATAAACAAAATGCGTTCGTTAATAAAAAAAAATGAATCGAATACTCCTTATGTAGACCCATTGCACTGTTGTTTCAACAAATCTGTCATAATAACTTGAAAGGATGTTTTCTCTCAGTATGTACTGGATAAGTAAGCAATAAGCCCATTTAAGACCAGGTACCTCCATAAGCCTTGAAATCTCATAGTTAGTCACATATATTGACTTCGTTTTTTTTTGTCACCTTTCACAGATATTTAATTCTGTTCCCTCTGTTCTCTTAATACAGATGTTGACTTTAGTTACACATGTATTGATAATGGGTACCCCTTGTCACCTTACATATATATTGACTCAAGTTACCTTTGGTCCTCTAACACATATATTGACAATGACTACCCTTGGTCACCTAACACATATATACACTTTGATTGGTTCCCTCTGGCCACCTTACACAGATATTAACTTTGGTTACCTCTGGTCATCTTACACAGATCTTGACTTTGGTTACCACTAGTCTCCTTACTTACATTGATGTTGATTTTTGTTTCCTCTAGTTTCTAACAAAGATGTTGACTTTGGTTACCTCTGGTCACCTGACGCAACTATTAATTATGGTTACATCTGGTCATCTGACACAGATATTAACTTTGGTTACCTCTGGTCACCTAACACAGATATTAACTTTGAATACCTCTGGTCACCTTTCACAAATATTCATTTTGGTTATCTCTGGTTACCTTACACAGATGTCCTAATAATGTGCTGGTTTTAGAAAAAAATGTCTTGATTCTGTCCACCTATGTCCTGGTTCTGTGTAAAAAGTGACAATAGTGAAAATCATTAATACAGAAATAAGTGTAATGGATTTAAAAAGCACCTATCACACATTTGGAGGCTGCATTATTTCAGTTGAACAATATTAAGTCTATTTTGTACATTTTCAATGTTTTAAGAAAAAAATATGCATTTAATAGGCAGTGGTATGGTAATAAAAAACTGTGAAAAATATCCTATGTCTATGCCTTTAGGTCAGTATTTTGTTTATTAAATTAATCCAGCAAATACCAAAAAAAATGATGCTTTGAATAGATCAATGTGTCTATTATTATTGAAGTTTAAAAACAGATACTAGATTCATGCAACATGTACAGTTCATGTTTATTCTTTTCAACTATAGTCATACACATACACATCAATTTGAAACTTGAATAACTGAGCATATGTTTCATTGATAATTTCTTAAATCTTCATGTATGTAATGTTGTTCGCAATGCACTATGTTTTATACATCTCAAAAGTAGTGATAAAGTCTAGAAAATTGATAGCTACTAAGGCAGTCACATAAGGGTTGAAAATTCATGAATGCAATCTTTACCTCCTCATTTCCCCCTTCAAAACCATAAAAAAATAATAATGACTGATTAACACATTCCCTGTCTGCTAGACATTGATTGTCGAAATGCGCATCTGGTGCGAATATTTACAGTTTACTTGGACACTATCCAGAAATATTTCTATTGTTAACCTGTTGAAGTCTTTTCTGATTATTTGAGTTGTTAGGTTGCTGTTTACAAATTATGCAGTAGTATGTCTGATTGAGGAAAACATCTGTAGTGCAAACCTTTAAAATAATGTCTACCACACCTTTACACAAAAACATACAATACTCGTAGACGGTCTTTCGTTTTTGTTAGTTATGTACTAACTAATTTTTTTTCAGTAGTCAGGCTTTTACAATCCCTTTGAATCACCACATGACTAGGGTGTTAAGGACTTTAATGAAGAAAACAAATATTGAATAAATGATTACATTTTTTTACTATTATATATTATATGAATATCAACGTTGTAACAAAAAGTGGAAAAGAACAACAGACACATACATAAACACACACTCTGGTACTTGCATTTACCCAACACAAATCAACTTGTTCATTGCAAAGAAAACTGTTATCTTTGTAAAGAAGTGCTCACCATAAATGAATGATAATCATTGTACGTT